GACAGCAACTTGTCTGTTCCCCTTCCCCCAATTCCCCAGCACTGTTCCCATCCCCCTAATTCCCCTATAAAAATCTTTAAAAAAAACAAAACTCTATCTCCTCCTGAGTGCATGCTTACTAATGAACTTATTTTATAGGTGCCATTTCCATTCCAAACAACTCCAGATGAGACCCCATTTAACCCAAAGAATCATAAAGATTACATTGTTGTGTTCTGGGACAGGACCTATACCCAGTAAAAACCTAATCTATTATTTCAGTTATCTAAATGAATCAGACTCATAGCACAGTACAATGTCAATCAGTCATTAAATTAACAGTAAAAATGATTAACAAACAGAAAAATACAGGTAACTGATGATTCCCTAGATATCTAATAGGAATTGAGAATGAAAGATTACCACTCCCACTATCATTGATAAGGTGATTATTTTGAAACCATTAGACAAGAGAAGGTGACAAAGGTGAAACGTCATTAAAAGTAATACCTAATAACAAAAATACCTTTATGACAAACTGTCATCTTTACTCACTTTGTCGCAGAAGACCTTGATCTGGCAATAAGCTCTATGAATGGGTTTATTGCTACGATTATTATAACTGTATGTATCAATCTGAATCATCAAAGGAAGTCCTTTCACCCCTTTTTGGGAGGAGAAATCTGTACTCAGGCAATTCACAGTGATGAAAATCTGAGGGAGGGAGAAAGAAAGGAAAAAGTTCATAAGTCACCATAAAAAGGATCTATAAAAGACACATACACCTAAGACTTAAAATCAAAATCCTAAACAAATCTATAAGGATCACTGAAGAATATTTGGATATTCTGACATAAAAACATGTTGAGCATATAAAACCTGGTAAATTGCATAATTTATAATTATAAATATATAAAAAATTTTGTTTTCGCATTTACTCTTAAAACAAACAATTAAAATTACTTTCCTTAGAGTATATCAGCAAAGTCTTATTTTTCAAACCTGCATAAGTTAGCTGGGTATCACACTGTCTCTTCAACATATTAAAGCTGTCACTTCTAATAGTGATAGCGATTTCTCTAATATCTGACCTGTGGGGTTAAAAAAAACCCAAACTGGATAACACCTTCCTTTGAGCATTATTACACTGAAACAGTTAATTGTTTACATATTTGCTTTCCCTATTTGATTATTAAGTATAAGATTTGAGACCATTTCTTGTTATTTTTGTATTACTGGTACCTAATGTAGTGTGTGGAAGAGAATAGGCAGTCAGTCAATGAGTTTATCTGTAGAAAATCCACTAGATTGGGAGTCAAACTCCAAATTTTAGTCCTAGCTCTAAACAATCAGCTAAGAGACCTCAGACAAATCCTTTATTATCTCTGGTTTTCAATTTTCCCTTCAAATTACTTTTTTAAACTTTCCCTGCAGGACAGAATATAAATACTATTATAGAAAAAGTGAAAAAGAAAACAGGAGAAAGGAAATGTAGTAAAGGCACCAACAACCTTAGCTTACAACATGGGGCATCAAGTGATACAACAAAAACTACATGCATCCAAAAAAAAGAAAGAAAGAAATTATTAAAGAGCATAGCACTGACCAGAAGAGCTAAAAATAATGATTTTATTATAAAATACCGGGAGAAACAGAGGGAGGAGTATAAATTACTAAATTTATCCTCATTTTATATAGTGGGTAGATGTAAATATCTATATACCACTTACAGTCGATTATCATGAAATAGAGGTGTGAGTATAGCACCTAGATTTATGTGGTAACTACATGAATATTAAGGGGTAGTCTCTGGGGGAAAACCAGGAGTACTGTATTATACACTTGGTACTATTTTCATTTGACACCATATGTATTATTTTTACCTAACATAAAACTTTAAATCACTCATCGTTTTAAAATTGTACATTTATGATTCCGAAAGGCATTTCATCCAATGTATTATATAACCCATGTTTTATTTGGTCTCCCTAAATTTTTCATTAACTTTCAAACCCTTGACCTGAAGCCTTTCACATCACAGCAACACCACAGAGAATAGCTCTGCTGGAAACAAAGAGCCGTGGCCATGAGCTGCATTTTAAAAGCCATTTAAATTTTTTATTTAACTACCAGGACTGATCTAGTTCATTTCAATCTCTATGCCTGTAGGCTTTTGGTAATTTATACAACCCAATATCTCCTTTTTAGTGCTATATCTATATCAAGATCATTTTAAATTTTATTTTTGAACCCCTTACTTGGCAATAAGAAACACATTAGGAAGGCACCACACATCAACAGCAGTCAAGGCCAGGT